TCTTGTGTTTGTTGTGCAATTCTTGCATATCTAGATGCATTTGTATTCACATAATTGTGTAAATTATGTTTAATGCCTTGGGTTTTTTTATGATTTAAATGCAGGTTACATAAAAATACACCAGAATCGTGATTTAATGAATGAATCATATTTTTCAAGGTGAAGCAAAGGTTATCTGTGATGATAACAGTATCAGCATTGTAGTTAGTAAAGCCTCCATGGATGGAATAGACCAGAACTGGCTCCAACTGCGAGACCCCACCTGCTCCCTTACCTCCAATGACACCCACATCCTGGGCACGATGTCCCTCAACACCTGTGGCACTATGATGGATGTATGACAACTACGTATTATGTTCTTCGAAGTTAAATATTTGAATATTGCATTGAAGCCCCTTTCATTCTCTTACTTTTTCTCTCTTTTTTCTTTGGTTTCAACACCAATCAGGACTCTGGAGATTTCATCGTCTTCAAAAACGAGATCAACTCCTTTGAGAACCCGAATGCTGTCATCACCAGACGCAATCAGGTTAAATTCGGCTTCTCCTGCCAGTATCCCAAAATGGCCAGTGTCTCCAACCGCTACGTTAACCATAAATCTGACTACATCTTCACTGAATCCAGTTTCGGCACGTTTGGTTACTCGTTTGAAGTTTTCACCGACAGCAGCTTCAACAGTCAGGTAGATCCCAGCCTGTATCCGGTGCAGGTTCAGCTGATGGACCAGATCTACATGGGCATTGAAGCTCATACTGCTCTACCAGAGGTCACTCTCTTCGTTGAGTCCTGCAGAGCCACTCCAGAAGACAATCCATTCAGTGCCGTCTTCTATGACATCATCAAAGATGGGTGAGATTTTATCGTGAACCAGATTTGGACATTTTTAGAAGAAAAGAATAGGATGTTGCCCATTTTATGGTCCTCCAGCCATAAGTATGAGCAATAGAATGCACTAATGAAAGAGTAAGTAGGCCTGTAATTAACACCATTCATTATATTCCAAGCTTGTCATTGGTAATGCTTAAAACACTGCAGGAACTTGGCAAAATTAAAGGCTCGCAAGATTAAGCTTTTGGGCTACTAACAAAAAGGTTTCAGGTTCAAGCCCTAGGCTTTCTCCTTCATGGTCGGCCTACAAAGCTTTGTTGAACCTCACAATGGCTTTCCTCAGAGCCATTTATCACTGTGGTTTACCTAAGGTGTGGTTTAGTAATGTGAAAAGTAAGTGTGAAGCTAAAGACTGATGCTTGTATTTGTGCACCTGAAGCCTTTTT